TAGGCCCAAGGACAGGAGAGGCTTCACTGACAGGCTGGGATACGACAGCGTTTTTCTAAATGCTATAGTCAGGGAGGCAGGTCTGGTTGACGCTTGGATTCAAAGTGTCCCAGACGGCACGGGTTTCACCTATAGGAGAGGTAATAGCCAGAGTAGGATAGACAGGTTTTTTTTGAAGGAGAACTCTGCCTTCTCGGCACCTGAGTGTCGGGCGGTGGAGTTTTCCGATCACCTTATGCTATCTGTCACCTTGAATATTTCAGACACGCCGCTGAGAGGAAAGGGCATCTGGAGGATGAATTCGTCTCTGCTGGAGGACGAGGAGGTGAGACGATCTTTCGAGGAGTTCTTTCAGGCGCAGGAGACTGTGCTGGATTTCTGCAGCAGTAAGTCTGAGTGGTGGGAGCTCACCAAGGTGCGGATCAGCAGGTTTTTCAAGGCCATTGGTAAGAGACGGCAGTTTAAACAGTATAAAACGCCTACCAGCGGTTGCGGAGGAAGCTCGACCGCCTTGTTTCTAGCGGTGGAGATTCGGGGGCAATCTCGGAGGTAAAGCTTCTCCTCAGGCAATTCCAGTATGATCGGCGTGCCTCTTTGGTTCTGGAGAGGGATTATGGGAAATACCACTCACCCGACCCTTTCCAGAATTGCAAACGGAGTGCAGCAGTTAAGACGATCTCTGCTCTGAGGGATAGTACGGGGTCCCTGACTAAATCCAGGTCGGGGATTCTGGAGGTCTCCAGGTCCTTTTATGCGGATTTACTGAGTGAGAAGCACCTTGACCGGACAGGGATGTCGAGCTTTTTGGAATCCACGCCTGGTCTGGACAGTGATGTCCCTCTGGCGAGTTTGACTGGAGAGATTACTGCAGAAGAGGTGTCCAGAGCGATTGATAGTCTGGCCATTAAGAAGACTCCTGGGCCAGACGGTCTGACAGCCGAATTTTTTATAGGCTTTTAAATCCCGCCTGGCACCTCGTCTCACGGAAGTGTATAACAGCTGTCTGGATGAGGGATCTCTCCCTCCTTCCATGAGACAGTCTGCAGTTATCCTCCTGTCAAAGGGTAAGGATCCTTCGCTATTGAGAACTGGCGCCCCATCAGCCTCCTCAATGTCGATAGAAAAGGTTCTGGCGAAGATCTTGTTCTGGCGCTTGTCGTCAGTGGCAGACAGTTTGCTTTCCCATCAGCAGCATTGCTCGGTTCAGGGCAGGAGTACCTTTACAGCGGTGTTAGCTGTCCGGGAGGCTCTGGAGCGATGTAAGGCTGAAGGATGGGGAAAGTACTTGCTGGCGGTGGATCAGGCAAAGGCCTTTGATCGAGTTGATCACAAGTACCTCTGGCATCTCCTAGACCGGTATGGTTTGGAGGGGAGGTTCATCGGCTGGTTGAAGACTTTGTACCAAGGGGCTGAGAGCTTCATGTTGGTGAATGGTTGGGTTGGGCAGCCCTTTGAGGTTGGATCTGGGGTGCGCCAGGGGTGCCCCGCTGAGTCCCTTGCTCTATGCCTTTGCCATCGACCCCTTCGTCAGGAGGCTAGATGGCGGGGCAGTGAGCGGGGTGCCGGTGGGTGCCACTGGAGATCCGCCTTTGAGAGTTGTGGCTTATGCTGATGACGTTTCTGTTTTCATTTCTGGACCAGAGGAGGCGCAGGAGGTGGTTTTAGTAATGGATCAGTATGCCGAGGCATCAGGTTCCAAGGTCAATCAGGACAAATGTGAAGTTCTTTGGATGGGCAGGGAGGGTGAGAGCTTCTCACTCCCGGACGCCTTCCCAGTGCCTCAGCCGAACATCAAAGTGTTGGGCATCAATTTTGGCCCTGCTGATTACAGCAAGCAAAATTGGGAATCCAAGCTGTCGGATGCCGAGGTCAAAGTGAGATGCTGGAAGGGGTGGTGGCTCTCCTTGAGGGAAAGGGTTGACTTGATCAAGACTTTCCTGCTCCCAGTCTTTTTATACGTCAGCTTCGTTTGCCTCTTGCCAGAATCGCTCTATGCGAGGATCTATAGCTGTTTCTTCCAGATGTTATGGGGGAATCGGCTGAACCTCGTCAAGAGGGACGTGACTTACTCATCCAGGCGGGAGGGTGGCCTAGGTATGGTCAACCCGGTGGTCTTTTTCTCTCTGATGTTTTGAAACATAACTTTGGTAACATGCTGGCAGAGAGTCCGCCTGCATGGGTAGGACTGTTCCGGATCTGGTTTGGACCCTTTCTGCACAGTTGGGAGAGTGGTGGGCCAGTGAGAAGCCTGCGGGTCAAGCATGGTAAGCTCCCGGCTTATGCGGCCCCGTGCCTGAAGTTACTCCGGCGGTGGCATGTGACTGCGGAGGAGGTCCGGTCCCTCCCTAGGAGGCTCCTGGGTGAGAGGATTGTGGCATCTGCTTTCCATGCGCCGCTGGCCTTGAGAGATTGCCCGGGCCATGTTTTGAGGGAGGGTTTGCGGTTGATAAATCTGGAGCGGATCCCCCTGAAGTTGCGGGACCAGGCCTGGCTCGCCTTCCACGGCAGGCTCTACGTGAGGGGTAACCTGAAGTACCGTCCTCCGGATGACCGTGGTTGTCCGAGGTCGGAGTGTGGGGGTGAAGTGGAGACTATGGACCACTTCTTGCTTCAGTGCCCCTTTAACGTAGAGGTGTATAAACAGGTGGGAGGGTCTCTGGGTGTTCCTTTCCTCCATCGCATGTCGTATGCGGAGTGGGTGTACGGAGCATTCGAGCGTCGCATGGGTTTTGATTTGGACACCTTGTTTTTAGTCAGCTTAGTTGTCCGTTACTACATTTGGATGGCACGGTGTCAGGTCTCCATTCGGCAGAAGGTCCTCCCTGTTCAGGTGGTGGTGAGTGACATTCTTGGTGAGGTTGGGAAAATTCGGGGTCTTGAGAAAGACAGGCTGCGGCGTAGGGCTTGGATGGAGGCGTGGAGGAACATCAAGCCTGTTGCTGCGGTCTGTTGATCTCGGGTGATGGGAACTGTCCCTGTTTTCTGCCTCTTGCACTCCCTAGCTTTTGCGTTTCGGTCTTTTTGGTAGCCTTTTGCATGGTAGGTTGTAGGTGTCAGACGTGGAAGATCTGCGGGTTCCTTAGCCCTCCCCCATAGTGTATATAATGGTTAGGTGTTTTTTGTGTATAGTTTGGGCCATATAGGCCGTAAGCGGCAGGTTTAATATGGAAATTGTTTATGGTTTACGTTTATGTCTGAGCCATAAAGGCTCCTAATTATATGGTCTTGGCCATAGAGGCCTTGTACTGTACATATTGTATATAAGTTCCGTTTTTTTCCTTTCAGGTTATGGACTTTTATGTTCTTTGTTTATTATTTCTCCCACAGGGGTTGTTGGGACTTTTTCAGTTTCTTTGTTTAGTTTTGTATTTATTTATTCTATTTATTTTATTTTGTACTTTTATATATAAGTTGAGGATGGATATGTATGTATGACATTAATACATAAATAAAAAATCTCCATCCTGCTGCCTCAATGTATCATGGTGATGGTTCAGCCTGTATCAATGGTTCAGGTGGTGGTGGTGTCATGGCGTGTAGGAGTTTTTCTTGGCACTAGCAAGGTGGACCTAATAAAGTGGCCGTTGAGTGTATATTTTTTTATGAAGATTTTTGTTAAACTGAATGATCTGGTGACAAGGTCTCTTTAACTTTCTTACATATTAGAAAGAATACATCTATGTCTTCTAAGACTTTCTAATACTGTTCTAATTACATAAGTATTGATTGTATCTCTTGTGTTTATTGAATTCTGGATTTTGTGGGTCTGGGAATTCCCGTATTCTCTGAGATCTTCACTCCGAGGATGTGTGAGAATGTAATATGATTTTTAGCATAGGTCAAAGTTCTGATCAATAGGAATAACGTTCCTCCAGTGCCGGTTTGATGCCGTGGCCCCCAATGTAATCCCAGGTGACCTTCTGTACGTCTCGGAGCGCGCTCTTCAAAGAGGAGCAATATTTCATTGCGGAATGATGACATAACCTTTAGATTGTTATAACCGGCCCCATTCACATAATGTTCCTCTAAACAATATATTCAATTTCTATTTAGATGTTATCTTCGCCTGAAAAATGATAAGCTATCAGGTGGTGAGTTACTGAGATGTGAGGCTTGGTCTACGTTATATAAGACTCTGAGCCCACTAAGACAGCCAAAGAGGAGAGCAAAGTAAAACGGTATCCAATCTTATAACCAGCAAAGTAAAATTTAAGGAGTGAGGACAAAACCTAATGACCTCAGAAGCTCACAGGCACACAGCTGTACACACCGCTAGCGAGTCCATTATCCAATAGTGAGCCTCTACAACATAGTATCATATACTTTGTAGGTTTAAGTAGAATACCAGTTTTAAAATGTAACAAACAGCCCAGAAAAAAAGTAAAAATAAAACCTTGAATCCAGAGACGTAAGTAATACCTGCAGTAATACCTTTCCACTACTAGATGGCATTAGTCTTCTCGGTTGAATGACATCTGGCATCATTCTTCCAACTTCCTCTGGGCCCGGGCTGTCATTGACACACCCACTGTGTGCAGCCTGGGCTCAGAATACTACTGCGCCAGATGGTGCTCACACATGAAAATATGAGCATTGTTTAGTGCAGGGATAAGAACCAACCCCACCAGTGACAGAGTAGAAGAGGAAGGACCTATGACATTAACAGACGTGCCAAAACCTGCTTTAAAACAAAGTCCATGTATTTGTAAGTATCTGCTGCCCTCTACTGTCCATAAGTGGCTTTGCTGTTTGATGTTCACATTACTTCCTGTCTCTGTGTGTGTGGGAAGGAAAACCCCAGAAAGAGGAAGTGGAGAGAGAGAGAGACTGAGAACTGAGCCACATAGTCCTTCACACACAGGGGCTGCTATTGCTGCTGTATTTTTACCCAAACCAAAATCAGAGACTATTAGGCAAGTACTCTTATATTGTAATATTGTAACTGCAGATGGCCATATCTTCTTGATTGTGTATCTAAATCCTTGTGACAGACAAGTCTCTGTCCTATTGCAGGCCTTGAAATTTCCACTCGCCTGCTTGCCAATGGTGAGTGGAAATTATGGTGGGGGCAAGTGTGTCCCCCAGGGCCGTCTTGCTGAGCAGGCTCGGAGCTCAGGCCGGATCTGTCATTGGCACTGGGAGCCGTCAGACTGCTCAATAGCTGAGCGCAGTGAAAGCAAAGCAAGGAGTGTGTGCTGTGCTCTCTGCCTCCCCCTAGAGTGCAGTACCCGGCTCTGTGAGTGAACAACGAAGTACTGCAACTTTTTATAGGGCTGTGTGTGTGTGTGTGTGTGTGTACCTAATTTCAGCTCACTCTGGTCACATAATCCTCTATGTCAGCCAGTGGTGGCTTCAGGGGAGAGGAGAGAGCACTTAACAGCGTGCGTGTGTGTGTGTGTATGCATGTACATGTGTCTGTGTGTATGTGCATGTGTCTGCGTGTGTGTACATGTGTCTGTGTGTGTGTGCATGTACATGTGTGTTTGTGTGTATGTACGTACATGTGTGTGTATGTACATGTGTCTGTGTGTATGTACATGTGTCTGTGCGTGTTTATTTCTGTGTATGTACATGTATCTGTGTGTCTGCATGTCTGTACGTGCCTGTGTGTGTATACATGTGTCTGTATGTGTGTACATGTGTCTCTGTGCGTGTGTGTACTTGTTTCTGTATGTGTATGTGTGTGTGTGTGTGTGTGTGTGTACAGGTGTCTTTGTTTGTGTGTGTTTGTTGGTGGCGAGTAACTCTTAAGGCCTGGCTAGTAGCTCAGGACTTGAAATTTTAAGCCCTGTCCTATTGTTATTATTTCACATGCATAGTGCCAGATAACTAGGTCTGTGCTACTGTACGTGTGTAGTGGTCTCCTTCTGGTATTTTAGTAAGTGAACTGTTCATTGCAATAGAGTTTATATGTTGCTCCTGTTATTTTACCTTGTCCCTTCTGGTCTGGGTTTCTATAACTAGTTTCAATTCAATACCCACCATAGTCATAAGCCAGGTTAGGCATTTGATGGCCACTTCTGGTAGTTAGAGGTCCAATTGCATGTCAGATTAGACGCTGCTATGGACTAAAGTACAGAGTAGATAGGCTGACTCTGAGTTCCAGTGTCACACCACGGTTTCTGTGTGTGAGAAGCTCCGATCCAGGCTGGTTGGACAATAGTTGGAGGATCTCCCCATCACCGCTGAGCTTGTCTGTAAGTCTCCGACACCATGATAATTCTCAGAGGCCCCTGCAACTATACTTTGCTGCAACTGGAGGTATCTTTAATAATAACTATATATTAATATTATTATTATACAGGATTTATATGGCGCCAACAGTTTACACAACACTTTACAATATAAGGGAGACAGTACAAAACAATACATTTCAGTACAGAAGGAATAGGAGGGCCCGGCTCGTGGAGCTTAAAATCTAAAGGAAGAGGGAGGTGATACAAAAGGTGATAGCTGCGGGGGATGATCTGATGGAGGTGGCTCAAGTACAGTTCTTAGGTGGAGGTGATTCAAGTACAGTTCTTAGGTGGAGGTGGGGTAGGCTTCCCTGAATAAGTGAGTTTTCAAAGATCGTCTAAAGGCAGACAGGGTGGGGGCTGACTGGACATACTAGGGTAGTGAGTTCCAGAGGATGGGAAAGGCTCTGGGCAAGTCCTGGAGGCGAGCGTGGGAGGAGGTGACAAGAGAGCTAGAGAGCAAGATGTCTTGGGAGGAGCGGAGTGGGCGATTTGAGCGATATCGGTGGATGAGGTTGGTGATGTAGCTGGGGGCAGTGTTGTGGATGGCTTTGTATATTGTGGTTAGTATTTTTAATTTTATATGTTGGGTTAGTGGAAGCCAGTGGAGGGATTGGCAGAGAGGGGCAGCAGTCGTCGCTGATCGGTTGGTAAGGTGTATGAGTCTAGCAGCAGTCGCTGATCGGTTGGTAAGGTGTATGAGTCTAGCAGCAGTCGCTGATCGGTTGGTAAGGTGTATGAGTCTAGCAGCAGTCGCTGATCGGTCGGTAAGGTGGATGAGTCTAGCAGCAGTCGCTGATCGGTTGGTAAGGTGGATGAGTCTAGCAGCAGTCGCTGATCGGTTGGTAAGGTGTATGAGTCTAGCAGCAGTCGCTGATCGGTTGGTAAGGTGTATGAGTCTAGCAGAAGTTGCTGATCGGTTGGTAAGGAGTATGAGTCTAGCAGCAGTTGCTGATCGGTCGGTAAGGTGGATGAGTCTAGCAGCAGTCGCTGATCGGTTGGTAAGGTGGATGAGTCTAGCAGCAGTCGCTGATCGGTCTAGCAGCAAGGTGGTAAGGTGGATGAGTCTAGCAGCAGTCGCTGATCGGTTGGTAAGGTGGATGAGTCTAGCAGCAGTCGCTGATCGGTCGGTAAGGTGTATGAGTCTAGCAGCAGTCGCTGATCGGTTGGTAAGGTGTAGAGTCTAGCAGCAGCATTCATAATAGACTGAAGGGGGTGTGGCCTGTGTAACGGTAGACCAGTGAGGAAGGAGTTGCAGTAATCAAGGCAGGATATAACCAAGGCATGGATAAGTTTTGTTGTTGTGTCCTTTGCCAGGAAGGGGCGGATATGGAGTAATGACCATTGATTTTAGCAGTTAGTAGGTCGTTAGTGAGTTTTAGTAGGGCAGTTTCAGTGGAATGTTGTGGGTGGAAGCCAGACTGTAGGGGATCAAGAAGGTTGTTGTCGGTGAGGTAGCAGTTCATATGGTTGTGAACAAGGCGCTCGAGAAGCTTGGAGGCAAATGGGAGCAGGGAGATGGGTCCAGGGGCGGACTGACCATTTGGAAACTCGGGCACTGCCCGAGGGCCCGGGGTCAGTAGGGGGCCCCATAAGATGCCCCTGGTACCTTTTTCATAGGCTTTTTTTGAATTTGGGCAAGGACACAGGGGCCCCATGATCCCCTATTGCCCGGGGGCCCATGAGTTGTCAGTCCGCCCCTGGATAGGACTGAACTAACTGGCATCAAATAAGAGGGTAAACTAAAGGAACAACAAGTTTCAGTGGCTCGGAACCACTGCTAGGTGTCAGCATACATCAGAACATAAATTTGGACATAAGGGGGCACCAATCTGAGTGTAGAGGGTTAATACTTTAATGGTATCAAAAGGAGTAAAAACTATTCACAAACATAAGAAGTTAAATGGCATGGTATTAAATCATCCTCTGGTATGTCTTTTGTCAGCCAGTGTGGTTGTGGGTCCAATAATACAATATAAGAGTACTTGCCTAATAGTCTCTGCTTTTGGTTTGGGTGAAAATACAGCAGCAGTAGCAGCCCCTGTGTGTGTAGGGCTATGTGGCTCAGTTCTCAGTCTCTCTCTCTCCACTTCCTCTTTCTGGGGTTTTCCCCCCACACACACAGAGACAGGAAGTAATGTGAACATTAAACAGCAAAGCCACTTACGGACAGTAGAGGGCAGCAGACACTTTTATATACATGGACTTTGTTTTAAAGCAGGTTTTGGCACGTCTGTGGGTCCTTGTCAATTGGAATGAACGGGGAAGGAGCCATCAGCTGTCAGGAGATTTGAAAATGGCGCCGTTTACCAGCGTGGACCACAAGGAAATCCCGGACCCGGCGGGTGGCCAATGGTAGAGTGAGGAGAAGTCAGGTGACGCATTTCGAAGCGTTTGCTTCTTCTTCAGACCACCTTTTTCAGATCTCCTGCACTGCTGACAGCTGACGGCTCCTTCCCCGTTCATCCCGATTGACAAGGACCCACAACCACACTGCTGGCTGACAGAAGGCTTACCAGAGGATGATTTTACACCATGCCTTTTAACTTCTTACGTTTGTGAGTAGTTTTTACTCCTTTTGATACCATTAAAGTATTAACCGTCTACACCACGGATGTCAAACTGGTGGCCCTCCAGCTGTTGCCAAACTACAAGTCCCATGAGGCATTGCAAAATTGACAGTTACAAGCATGACTCCCAAAGGCAGAGGCATGATGGGAGTTGTAGTTTCACAACAGCTGGACGGCCGTCAGTTTGACACCCCTGCTCTACACTCAGATTGGCACCCCCATTTTTCTGATTTTATCTCCTGCAGAGTACTGCTTCACTCCATGGGGAGCTGCTTTCACCTGTCATTCCCTATCTGAGACTTTTGGATTTTTGGACCTTATGCCTAAAATGTCATGTTTTACCTGTACTGTATGTGATTTTATTTGCTGCATTTACTCCCACTAGGATCTCCGTACTTGTGGTTCCCTCCAAGCGCCAATTCTGTTCTTACTCTCCTACACATCAGGACATTAACCTTCCTAGCGGTCTGATTATGTCAGTATTTCTGTGCTGAAAGCGGTAAATTTTTTTGCATGGAAATATGTTGTTTTTTTTATTGTAGGCCTGTAATTCTTAGGAATAACTCACTGAAATCTGTCCGAACAAGAGTCTAGTAAACATCCCGGGGATGATAAAACTTGAAAAACGAAATCATAAATTATAATTTAATAAATACTCATAAAAAAAATAATACAATAATAATAAATATAATTCAATAATATAATCAAACCAAAAACACTGAAATGTGAAATATAGCGCCAAGTTCGCACATCGCTGAGCTCAGTCGCAGAATCGTTTTCAGTGTCTGATGAGGAATTTCCCCCACGAATCATTATCACTCAATTCTGCAAGTGGTTCTGATTTACTATCGCTGTTCTCTAGCCGGTCTAAAACCGCTTTTCACCTAAAGGGACGCTTTTTGGACGCCATGGACGTTTCTCAGTTTCCAGTCAGAAAGAACAATAAAAATGCAGGCAGGGCGCCAGACAAAGCACTCGGGACAAAATGTATGTATGTGAAATGGTTTGATACAGGAATGTTATACTATGCGATTTTAGTTTATTAGAAAATGTCAGTTTTTAAAATTTTCTAATTTCCCGCCAGTTCCGTCCCCCGTACGTCCCGACGCTTGCAGGGACCGGAACACGGAAGACAGATGCCGGCATCGGCCGGAGGAGATGGCCGGGGACGCTAAAGGGGGGACATCGCGGGAGCGCAGGACAAGGTAAGTGCTGGAGGGATCCCGGAGCAACGCTGCAGTGTATTCCCGAGTGTAGCTCGGGGGGGTTACCGCTTTTGGTACTGAAACTTTACCCCGAGCTACACTCTGGAATACCGCCAGGGGGGTTAACACCATAATATCTGGGACACAATAATGGGGGGCCCGGAGCAATTATGTACTGATGTAACACACTAGCTCCTGAAACACCAGAGCAATTACATATTGACACTTGGAGGTCTATGTTCAAAAAAATTGTTGGACAAACGCCACAAGCATTTTTCTAGTTCTCACAAATTCTGGTCATATTTTGCTTAACTGACTGAGACATGTCAGGAAAATATGTATATTATGGCTGATAGGATCACTTTCTGTCTGGTCTGTAGCCTCTGTCCTCGATTATTTTTTGACCTCTGGATCCAGGAGAAATAAAGCTCCAGACGCCGAAAAGAAATGCCCGTAGCGGATAAGAAAGAATGAAAATAGCGCAGGGCATGCATGACTAGGCCCCAGA